ACCTAAGTGACCCCAGTTCTCTGCCGCCATGAAGAAGGCCTTCCCCTGGGCCTGGGTTCCTGACTTCAGCCTTTCCCCGGTGGGGAGGGAGGTTGTTAGAATGAGGGGGGTGGGAGGATTTCCCAAGCTTTCCTTGGTAATGGGGAGTGGAAGCTGCTGGGGTACAGCGACCAGGAGATGAGGTCCTTTAAGGGGAGGGAGCTCCAGGATGGGGGGACGACCAGCCTGCCAGCAACAGCAGGAGGGGATGCTGAGGGAAGCAGGAAAGTCTGGCCACTCTTGGCTCCATATCAGTGGACATCCAGGACTGCACCACCTCCAGGCTGCTGGTTATGGCCGCCCTGGGAGCTGGGAGAGGCTTGGCCCGTTCAAGGTCAAAATCACAAATCTCCAGGGTCATTTTTTACGGCTGTTAACTGTTCTGACCCTCCTCACTGTTCACTGAGTGCCCCTTGGTCCAGCCCCGGATGCAGGGAGGTGCTGAGATCCAAAGACCAACAGTCCCCGGGGCCCCTCTCCTCCTTCCTCCTCTCTGGTGTATGTGGAAGGCTAAGGTGATGCAGAGACGGTTCCTCCCTGACATTGTGACACCTTCCACATTTGTCAGTAACACTCCAGTACAGGAAGCATGTAATACTGGATATCACCTTCAGTGCTTCCCTCCTTCCTACCCGTGGAATAAAATCCCTGCTTCTCTGCCTGGCATTCAAGGCCCTTCACCACACAGCTTTGGTCAGACTTTCCAGCTTGGTCCCCATGACTCTCTTTTGGGGGAGCCTAGCCTGAGCAGACGACACTGCTGACCCATGAATCTGCCTCGGGCTTTCCCACCTCCTTACCTTGGCTCACCCTTCTCCTCACGCCTAGAACGCCCCTCTGCCCCATCCTCAAACACTGGACTCCTACCAACTCATAAACCCCCTGTAGAAATGCTGCCTCCTCCAGGAAGACCTCCCTGATTGTCCTGGTCAATAATGATGTCTTTCAGGCTTCGAACTACTTTCTTCTCCTCTCTAATACACAAATCATGTAGTAGTGTCTATGATAGTTATCTTTGTTGGGGTCTTATTCCCACCTCCCGCCTCCATCTCCCCCCTCCTCAATCGACGGTAAGCTCTAGGAAAACATGACTATGTCTGGCGTCTTATCTAAATTCTGTACCTCCCCCAGGGCAGCAGCATGTTCAGCATACAGCAGGTGACTAATAAATGTCAGTTTTAGCTCATTGTACCACACATCTGAATTGGGATTTTGTGGTGCCACTGTAGGCCACGAGACATCTGTAGGGAAGCCAGACCAAAGGGAACTGGGGAGAAGATACGGAAGATTATGGTAAAGGGCAGGTCCCCAGAAGATCAAGAAAACAGATCTCCCAAGTCCCAGGGAAAGAGAGCCATTCAACAATAGGACCGGCTGATGTATGAGATAGTGAGCTCCCCCTGACTGAAGTCTTCTGCTGCAGACTTAAGAAGGACCTGCCAGGGATGTTGTTGGGGGGCTTCTTGCATGGGGAATGGAGCATGACTGGATGATTTCCAAGGTCCCTTCAAGACCTGATGATTCTGAGAAGGGGAAAAAAAGACAAGGAAAGACAAAGTCACATAAAGCGACAGGGACCAGGAGAGAGGAATTCAACCCCATCACTGGAATGACGAGCTCCTCGTTCAGACATCTGCGCCCCGGAGCTGGGGGAGGAGAGGCAGAAACCACAGATTGGGAGGGTGTGGGTGGACAGATACAGGCAGCTCTCCACTCCCTGCACTGTGAATAATACCAGTGATGCTCTGATGCTCCCCTACAAAAACGTAGCCCGTGACCATCCCCAGCCCCTCGTCCTCCCCGCAGGCGAGGGCCCTCCTGGAGCTCACACCCAGCGAGGAGGCGTCCAGAACATGCTCTGTGGTGGGCTCAGTCAGAAGCAAAGGCTCTCGCCTGCTCCCAGCTGGGCCTGGACCTGGAAGTCCCAGGGTCCCCTGCCTCAGCTGCCCCCTGCACTCAGGACAAGGCCTGGCCTGCTGAGTGCTGAGTGCAAGCTGTCCTCACTTGACTTATGGCCTCCCTTGTAGTTGCTTCTTGGGGCTGGGTGAGCATGGTTCTCCCCTTCCCTTCCCCCCTCCCTCAAGTACAGTCTAAGCTTTTTTTTCCCCTTGGCTAGGAGATGGGGTTAAGTGACTTGCCCAGAGTCACACAGCTAGTAAGAGGATCTAAGCTTTTTGAGGGCAGGGAAGGCTCCATCTTTTGTTTGGCCATCACTGGAGCTCAGCACCGGGCGCTGCACATCGTAGGTGACTAATTGACTTGTGGATCTGAAGTGAATGGCAGGGAGGCTGGCACAGAGGTGCCCATGCCCATGCCCAGGTCTGCTCCTCCCAGCTAAGATGGCAGACTGGACTGCCGAGAAGGCCCTGGCTGCACCCTGCTGCTGCCCACGGCCCGAGGAGGCCAAAGAGGGAGGCTGGAGGAGGGGGAGGCCAGGGCTCCCCAGAAAATCAGGAAGCCTTTGGTGGAATTAGAGAGAGAGAGAGAGACCACGGGGCCCTGCCTGCCCCCACACACACCCCCTGGCTGCGTTACCTTGGCCAAGTCACCAGGTTCTCTAGACCTCGGTCTTCTCACTTCAAAAGGAGGGGAGCACAGGATTTAGACATGGTAGGGACCGGCCCAGACATTTTACAGATGAGGAAACTGAGGCCCAGAGAGGGAAGGGGGATTGCCTGAGGGTAGCCGGGGACAGTGAACAGAACCCTGAAGACCCGCCTTTGAATCTGGCCTCTGCTCTTTACATATGACATGAGGCCTCGGGCCTCAGTTTCTTCTTCTGTCCAGACAGCAGAGTTGGACCGAGTGATCTCTATGGTGCCTCCCAGTTCTAGACTTTGTCTCTGGCCCTGTGATCCTGAGTCCTTCTGTATCACGGCCAGTTACAGGCATTACTATTCAAATCTCCGTCCCCTAGATGACCTCGAGCTGAGGGCCAAGGGTGGCAAAAGGCCAATGAGTGTCAGAAATGGAGGATGAACTGTCACCCCTGCCCCGTCCTAGGGAGCAGAGGCGGCCTGGGGGAGCCACCACTGTGGCTCACAGAGCACCGGGTCTGGGGTCAGGAAGACTCGTCTTCATGAGTTCAAATCTGGCCTCAGACACTTACAAGCTATGTGACCCTGGGCAAGTCACTTCACCTTGTTTGCCTCAGTTTCCTCATCTGTTAAATGAGCAGGAAAAGGAAATGGCAAACTGTTCCTGTATCTCTGCCAAGAAAATCCCAAATGGGGTCCTGAAGGGTCAGACATGACTAACCATTAACAAGGGGGTGCTTGAGCCATTTCCTCACAACAACCCTGTGCATTGGCAGGATTGGTACTCTCACCCTCATTTGACACATGAGGAAACTGAGGCACACAGAGGCTTTTAAATGACTTTGCCCATAGATCCAGCACTCACTCATGCACCTTTCCTGGCAGTTAGAGTGGACCCTAAATAGGGTACGTGTACACAGTAGGAGCTTAATAAATTTATGCTGAATGAGAGTGACAATTTGGGGGGGGTTATGGTGAAGGGGATGGAAGCAGGGAGCAAATCTGGGCTCCTGACTTCTTTATACATCAGTGGCTTCTTCTTGCAGAGTCAGGGGTGGGGAAGATGGAAGGAGAGGGATGAAGCCACGTCTGCTACTCTACCTCAGTGTCCCCTTCTTGAGAAGAAGGGGATGATTCACACTCAGGAGTACCTGGAGTGGGGTAAGGGCAGACAGGTGGGGGGGCCCTCTGAGAAAACTAAGTCTGGAGGTAAGAGATTTGAAGAAGGGATTACCTGCAAGGGAAGCTGGGGGGCTGGGTAGGGATGAAGGTGGGCTTACAGAGGACTCCTGTGTCTGCTCTCAATTTTGGGGTTTGATCAATAATAATAACAATAATGATAACGACAATCATAACTGGCACTGATACAGAAGGTCAGGGTTTGCAAAGCACTTTTCATACAACGTTACATGTGATCACACTGGGAGGGACCGTGGGGATCACTCTGTCCAACTCTGCCATGTGGACAGAAGAAGAAACTGAGGCCTGGGGTGGGGGGGAAGGTGAGTTGCCTGATGTCATATGTAAAGAGCAGAGCCCAGATTCAAAGCCAGGTCTTCAGCGTTCTCTTCACCATCTCTGGATACTCTAAGGCAAGCACTTTTTCTTTCCGGGCCTCAGTTTCCTCATCTGTAAAATGTCTGGGCTGGACTCCAGCCTCTAGAGTTCCTACCTCGTCTAAATCCTGTGCTCCCCTCCTTTTATTGGTGAGAAGACCGAGGTCTAGAGAACCTGGTGACTTGGCTAAGTTAACGCAGCCACGGTGGGGGGGGGGCAGGCAGGGCCCAGAGATCTCTCTCTCTAATTCCACCAAAGGCTTCCTGATTTTCTGAGTAGCCCTGGCCTCCCCCTCCTCCAGCCTCCCTCTTTGGCCTCCTCGTGCCCCGCGTGCAGCAGCAGGGTGCAGCCGGCGCCTTCCCTCTCTCCCTTGGGCTCAGGACCCTGATCCGCGCTCCTTCCTGCCGGTCCAATCTGCCATCTTAGCTGGGAGGAGCAGACCACAGCGTGGGCGTGGGTACCTCCCCACTTGCCTTTCCAGCAGGGACGTGGCTGCTTCTTGGGGTCACCACCGTTTGGGGGAGTCCTCTTAGCCCCGTGTGCCCACGTTCCCTCCTGCTGCCCCTTTCCACCTCCTCCCTTCCTCTCCCTCAGGATGCTCCGATGCTGCCTCAGAGCCGCCAGCCCCATAGCAGCCTCACCAAGGCCAAGGCTGCCCCACTACTGATCCCCACTGGCCTGTGCGCGCTAGCGCAGCCTCCCTCCCCAGCCTGGCTCAGCGCCTGCTCCTTGGGCTAGAGGGAGGGAGGGAGGGAGGGAGGGAAGGGGGAGGAAGAGGAGGGGGTGGCGGAGGAAAGGCAAGGCAGGGGGAGGGTTGGCTTTTTTTCCTCCCTCCCTCCCTCTCCTTCCCTCTCTCCCTCCTTGCTG